CTCTTCTCTAAATTTTTGGTAGAATTCAGCTGTGAAGCCATCTGGTCCTGGGCTTTTGTTTGCTGGAAGATTTCTGATTACAGTTTCGATTTCCTTGCTTGTGATGGCTCTGTTAAGATCTTCTATAAAGTTTTTGAGATCCATCTATTTTGTAGCCTTTAACTATGTGGATGTGCTCAGTCACTCCAGTCATGTCCAACTCTTTGAGATTCCATGTACTGTAACCCACCAGGCTCTTCTGCCCATGGATTTCTCCAGGCAAGAATACCGGAGTGAGTTGCCATGCCCTCTTCCAGGGGATCTTCCTGACTCAGGGATTGAACCCTTGTCTTCTGCATCTCCTGCATTGCAGGCAGATTCTCTACAACCGAGCCACCAAGGAAGCCCCACCTAGAACTACACCCATTCCTTTTTATCAAGGATAGTATTCCACGGTATGTGGTTCATCCAGTCACCAATTGATGGGCATAGTTGTCTCTCTTGATATTTTAACATCCACACCAGAGGCTGTGCATGTTTCTGCAGGTCCTCTAGGACTGACTTTCTGAAAGGTGAGAGAGTTTTTAAGTTCTGAGGAAATTCAGTTTACAGCAGGTCAGGCCTGGTTGACTGAAGTCTTCCAGGAGCATGACTTCCCAGGAAATAAATGAATGAAAGGTGTTTTCCATTTACCAGACTCTAAAGCCTCCCCTGGCCACAGTCCCAGGATCTGACCCTCTGAGGCTGTGAAAGAGATGGAAAGAAGCAGTATCTCATGGGTTTACTGTTAACACTTCCAGTCTACTCTATACTGCTTACAAACACCCCCAAAGATCATAGTCAAATCACTTAATATTTAGCAATCAGTCAGGCACTGCACAGACCAACCCCAGTCATCTCTGATACTGAACAAGTCCCAGGTTTCTCGAGACCCTGCTCTGTGTGAGGAGTTAACCCTTCAGTTGCTGGATAATGAGGAATCCAGGGGAGGCAGGAGCAGATCAGGCTACCTGAGGTAATCAACAAACACAAGACACATGGGGGACAGATGTATCTGTGCCCATCAGTGGGCACAGAAGCATCTCAGTAGCTTAATAATGGCTTCAGCTCTGCCTGTGAGTACCAAAAGATATGGAGCCCAGCCCTTCTGTCCACCCTGTCCATGCAGAAAACACAAACAGTCTCCTCAGACTCTCGGGGAGTTCTGGTCTCAGGCCCCAAGGCCCACATTTCATTAACCTGCAGAGCAGTCCCTCAGAGAAGGAAGTGCTCTGTGCTAGAAAAGTAGGGAGATGCTGACAGCTCCCCCTCACCACCTCCCTGGGATTAGGTGAGCTGGGTCTTCACAATTAGATTGGGCAGGATGTTGAATCCTAAGATGCGACACACCCCCGTCATCCCTCACACATTTTCTTGACATACATGCAGGTTCTGGCTACAGATTGTGGCGTGGTGGGGACAAGGATCCAGAGCCACGGTGGCCTTCGACGACATCTCCGTCAGCCTGGACTGCTACCTCACCAGTGAGCGCTCCCTGTCCCTTGCACTTGTCCCCCAGCCCAGACTATCCCAGCCTCACTGTCCCTCCTCACCCCAAGCCCTGGTCTCTCCCACCTTCCCTGGGGCATACTCCTCCCTGTCCCTTAAACCAGACCTCCCTTAACTCAGCCCGTGGGCTCTTCTCTACCCTATAGTCAGCGGGGAGGACAAGATGCCACAGAACACGGCACCCAAGTCAAGAAATCTGTTTGAGAGAAACCTGAACAATGAGCTGAAACCCTGGGTGAACCCATCGAAAGAAACCCCCATCTTTGACCCTACAGGTAAGAGTTCAACTCACATATCTGAGTGAAGTCATTTTTTGTTGCAAAAAGTAGAAAAAATATATATGCTGTGATTGGGGTGAGGAGCTGTGTTTAAAGAATAAAACGGTCAATCTTTAGGAAGAACATCACCTACACCCTGGTTAGTGAGTTTCAAGAGGAAGCTGTTTCTCTGGGAAAATAGAGCTTCTGGAATTTGTGCAAAGGAGCAAATGTCCTCCAAGCCAGGGAAATACCTAGGCCCCAACACAAAAGGGAGAAGCAAGCTGGTATCCTTTTTTCAACTCAGTCCTTCGAAACCACTCCACACTTACTGAATAAAGCAAACCTTCCATTGATTTCTCCTCATAAAGAGGGCTGGGCCCAAGGTCAAGGATATCTGTTGCACAAAGGCAGACTAGCTCGTCAGTGGTGAAACCCCCAAAGCTTCAGGTTCAGTGAATTTCCCCAAAGCTCAGCTCCCCTTTGAAGCTGTTCAATTCAGCCTCCCATGGGCTGGAAGACCTCTTGTGGGCCCTTGCTGCTTCAAACACAGGGGTCTTCAGCATCTGGCCCTAAACCATGGATGTGACTTCTCAGCTGTTCTGTACCAGGAGGAAGTCTCTTGGAATGAGTCTCCAAACCCAGTACGAGGTTGGTCGGCAATTATTAGATCTGTGAGCCCAGCCCCAGAGAAGTTGATGCAGGCCACCCAGCCCAACACTAGCAGGTCGAGGGGATCACCCAGGGGAGTGCTGTTACATGGAGGTGTGAGGCTCCATCCAGCATGAGTAACTCATAGAGGCAGGGGTACAGCCACAGTCCACCCATCCTCTTTTTCCTATAAAAGGTAATTCTGTATTAAGATAGCAAGAGATAAATGATAGTCTCTAATTTCTACTTTTAATGTGAAATCTTTGTTGAGTGCAAAGTACAGAAAAAGAAAGTAAAGTTTATGTCTTTTCACTAAATTCATTGACCCTCAACTTATTAAACAAATATTAGCTTTGCTTTGTCTTTGAAGAAAGAAACCCTTTCATTTCCTCCCCCTAAAATGCTGTCCCAGAATTAACTCTCATCCCTTCCAGGTCCCACCAGATCTAATCCAGCCACCAAACCAGAGGAAAGAGTTTGTTGCTTTTCCCATCACCTTCCCCCTTTCCTCCCTTCACCTGAGCTAGAACCTCAAAAAATCTTGTCTTTTTTTCATGCAACAGGGAACCTGGTCTCCTAAACCATAATCTCTACTTCCCCCTCTGCCCTGTGGTTTGCAAAAAACATCTAACATGATGGGGGCAGCTTTCTATTAATCGTTCAACACCCTCCCCACCCCCCATCCCAGTGACTCACCTCCATAGCCCTTGGTTAACCACTGCCTCCCTGCGATAAATATAGGACATATCCAGCTAACACGACTGCAAGCCCCACTTCTCATCACCACCAGCCCTGATTACATAGCAGGGGCTCCAGAAACACTTATCGATTGACTGTGGGCGATTGATGCTTGAGCACAATCCTCCAAAGTCTGCAGCGGCTTCCTCGCAGTCATCCACCCTGCCTGACTCCCAGGTTTATTACCATGTAACTCCCACTGGCCCTAAAAGGCTGATCAATAAGGGTCTGCCCAGTGGCCACTCAGACTAATGAAATTTCACAGTGGCTCGAAAGTGGCAGTGCCCCACCACCACCTCCAGATAAAATTAGGAGAAAGTGGAGGCCTGAGAGGGTGGAGATGCCCAGGGCTGGGACAAAACCTTCCTCTGCTGCCTGACCCCAGCCTCAGGGCAGGAGTGTCAACAAGTGTCTGTGGGTCGGTGTTCTAGCTCTAGACCCCTTTCAGAGTGACCCCAACTCGAAAGGAAGAGGATGCTGAGGCAAACACATTCCCAAGCAGCCTTAGTAGCCTCCTCAGGCAGGTTTTAGAGAACCGAACAGAGCCTGTGCTTCCCCAGGAGCCCACATCAGGGAGTAGTTCAGGTGAGTGAGGAGCTGAGGCGGGCTTCTGACACCCCTTCCCAGCTCTGTTCCTGTAGCAGGAGGCATCTCCCCATCTGATGGGCCTGCCAGGGTGAGGGTATCTGTCTTCATCCGGAGAATTAATGAGGGGAAAGGGAGCAGGGCCTCCTTTTCCCACCTTCTGCACGACAAGGTCCACTGAGCCCTTTGGAGTGGCACTTAGCCAGGACCCAGCTTCATGGTCAGGGAAAACAGTCCACCCCCTGGGTTCATGCACAGGCCCACCCTCTTGGCTTTCATCTAACGCCCCTCACCACAGTTCTCCTCTGTGGGGAGTCCAGACCCAGGTCAGGAGCTCAGAGAGCTCACAGTCTAGAAGAGAAGAGCGCAAGGGGACAAATGCTGGGAAGATTTGTGGAGCTCAAGGTGCCCACAGCAAGAGAAGCGGTGATGGGGGAGGGACCTGGAGGGGGAAGTACAGGCGGCTCCTTGAGAAGCCAAGGTCAGGACCACAGCCACTCAGTGATAATCACCCAGCAAACGTTTGCCTGGTAACTCCCATGCCCCTGGGGTTGCACAGCTCCAACAGGGAAGAGGGGAACCAGTTCTGGAACTTCCGGCCCCTGGAGAGAGGGCAGCCAGTGAACCCACAAGTCACGGTCTGCAACGTTAAGCTTGTCAATTGAAAAAAATGCACAATGTTTTATTTGGAGCAACATGAGGACTGTAGCCTGGGAGGCAGCATTTCAGATAGCTCTGAGGAACTACGCTGAAGAGGCAGAGGGAAAGGTCAGTGTATATGTGATTTTGGTGAAAGGGGATACATGCAATTGGGCACACAGTTTTGTAGAAAGTCACTGCTAGGCTTGTGAAGGTTCCTGGTAGTCACAAGGAGTAGATGTCACCATGAAAGATTTTAGTGCTTTTTTTAGATGTGATGAAATGCAAGAACTGGGCTCATAAAATCTTCTCCTGAAAATACCTAACTATCTGATGGCTTGTCCTGCCACTTTTTCCAGAGCACAGAGTGTCTCATTCTCGATCCCCACCCTGAACTCCTTTCAGGGACTGTTAAAGGTCAGCAGTTGCAGCAGCTAGTGATGTGATCCTTGTAGAGGTAGATGGCAAGTGCCAGTTTATGGATGACAAGCTTAACCTAACTCAGAGTTTCTACCCAGGGAGGGACTCTGGAGAGAAAGTGGGGGCTGAGGCTGGAGGGAGAGGAAAGGAAAGAATGATCAGTGAGTGTGCTTGCCCCTGGGCTGGGGGGCTCTCGTACACTGACTCCTCTAGCCCTCACTCCGGCCCAGGGCCCGCTGCTGTTGTTAGCACTGCAGGGATAAGGGAGGTGATGGGGAGGAACATAAACGTTCCACACAGCTGGTGGGAAAATGAGCCAGGATGTGGCCCTGAAGTCTGCATCCTTCAGCCAACTGAACTACTTTGGGTATCCAATTCCCTCTCAGAGATCAATGCTCTACATGGAAAAGAGCTGGGAGAGTGTCCCAGACAAGAGGCCCTCTTTGATCAGTAAACAAAGCAGCTCCCAGCCATCCCCGTAAAGGACAGAGGAGGCTGGATAATAAGATTTTCTCCCCAAAGTTCAGCGCTGTCAGTTTCTGCTCGACTGGAACAGAGGTGGCTGGTGGCATTTCAACTCTCCTTCTGGCAGGCATTAGAGCAGCTCCTGGAAATGCAAAGGCCAGTCAGGTCTTCCAAAAACCATCACTCACAAAGCTCCCTAATTTCTAAACACTCCTCACATCCCCCAAGCCAGCCCTTCCCTCTGACGAGGGCCTGACCCTTTGGGTCTGGGGGTTTCCTCTCCCCCAGCCCATGGGGCAGAGCTGAGCCACTGGGGCATCCAGGCAGGAAAGAGCCTGTCCAGGTGCTTCACGGAACCTTCTCAGAAGCTTCTGAGTCACTTCAGCTAATCAGATGAAGAAACTGGGAGAGAAGTATTAAGGCTGGGAAATTACACCTTATCAGATTTGCACATACAATTACACTATCCAAATGGATGGGATAATGCGATCACGGGTGCAGAGCTCTTCTCTCCCTCCCCCTCTCTCTGCATGCTCCCCACCCGGCAGTAATGAACATTAGGGGTGAGGAGGTGCAGGCAGGCTCTGTCACCTTCTCTCTCTCTCTAAAAGCCCAGGTAAGGACAGGCAGGATCCCCACCCGGCCCCCACCCCAGGTCTGAGGACCCTGCCTCAGCTTTCTAACCTCTCTCACCTTCTCCTGTGAGCTTACATGTTGTGTCGGAGGGCAGGATGGAATCATTTCAGTTTAAATGAGAACCAGCCCAACCCACAAGTATTCATAACTTGCAGAATCCTGGCTTCAAGCCAAAGTCTTGCCTCTGAGTTGGCTGGTGACAGTTGGTTTACTGTTTTCTGAGTACACATCTTTTGCCAAAGGTGGTGGGGGGAGGGATGGCAATTTAAAAACACTGGAAAAGAGCACTGGACCAGGAGTCAGAATCCCCAGCTGGCCTACACTTGCTGGCCTCCACTGTGCTCTTGGGGCAGGGCTCACCTCTCCCTGGCCTTCCGTCCCCTCATCTGATGGCTGATGCCTGTCAGCAAAGCCCCAAGTAACAGCTGGTGTTTGCAGGGCCAACACAAACACAAAGGCTAAAAAGCTGCTGCATTTCAAAGTCAAGGTTAAAGTAGACTGTCTCCAGGCCGCTCGTCATCCCCAGCTCTGTGGTTCTATGGGCTGAAGGGACAGAGTATAAGTGAACCAGAGCTCACTAACCCATGGCACTGCTAACGTGCCCAGAAGTGAGGGTGACAGACTGTCCACACACACGCTCCTATGACTCAAGAACAGATGCCAATTCCAATGAGAAAGTTTTATGTGTTTCACATAAATTGATTGGGTCTATTTCTGCTAAACGCATTATCCATTCGCCACAGAACAACTATTAGAGTTAATAGAATTTGTAGCTAGAGCCATTATGCTCCAAGCAAGCCCTTCTGGGGATGACAGCATTATTGGAAGGCAGGCTTCACAGGGCCCGCCTCCCTCACTCAGAACTGTCTTCTCACTCACCTGGG